ATTTGTCGCCATCGTAGCTGCGGTTTCAGCCACTAGATTATCAAGTATAACTGTAGTTACTCCAGAATACAAACCACGTATCACTTGAATCGCCACGGCGGACTGCAAATAATAAATTTAAATATTATGCAAATTGATAACTAAATTTGTAATTTTTTATTTGTGTCCGTAGCATTTATGTGTACCTAATTAAAAAAAAAAAATATATATATATATATATATTTAATATATGTACAATGTTACAAGGCTTTTTCTCAAGATGCTATACATGTACATTTCATTTTTTGACATATCACATTACATTGGAAATCATATAAAAAGTAAAAAGATACTTACTGGATCTACGTAATTCATATCCAAATTATAACACTGTTTGGTAATCCTGGAAGTGATTTTATCAAAATCGACATCCTCCTTACGCCCATCTAAAGAAAGTAGTTTAATTTTATAATCTCTCCTTTCATCTCTTATAATTTGCAATTATATAAATGTATAATACATTTATAATATCAACACATAACACTAAACATAATACTAAACTAATAATCTAATCTTTATTTTATTGCGAATTATTTTGCGATTTTATGCAAAAGCCAGGTTCCTGGTGTCACAATGATATATCAACATTATACAAAAAAGAACGAGTATATCATATTTCTGGGTGAAACGGTTACATATCCTGCACATTCGAATACGAAGGAATGGTTAACCCATAACTTACTGCGCTTAATAACGTGCATCTTTCCGCGCGCGGCTTCCTTGCCTGGCATTTTCAAGGGAGACTGATTATCGTTTCCAGCTGAAAGTTTCCCAAACATCGTATACAGATCCATGTTAACCGAACCGGTTATTAGCTGACACAGACCTTCTTCTTCTTCTAGTTGCCTCGATTTTAGATTCCCAATCAAATCTAAGTATCACAATGATTCTGTTGTTACGAAACTGAGCTATACACGTTCAAACTTGTTTCTAAGCACAAGAGAAGGATGGGGAGGTCATAACAGCTGCACACACTATTGTTCGAAGACGCGGGAAGCTAGACCGAAGGATCGAGAAGCGGTTTAGGCACTCTTTTTTACATTTACATAGAAAATTTCTGCGTGAGTATCCGGGTACCCCGGTTATTAAAATCGTGTAGTTAACTTTGACGA